GATAAGAAAAAGTGTTAAAACTAGATTTAAATATTGTATTGGTCACTAGATGGCACCTTGTATCTCTTTTTATACTTAATCCTGTTTTGTAGAATAAAACTCTCTTTTGTTGTTTGGACTCCGATGTGTGGGTGTTTTATTGTTCCTTTTGTTCAACATGCTCCGCTAATACTTTCATCAAAAAGTAAAACAGAAATAGGAAATAAATCACAACCAGAAAAATCATTGTCTTTAATACTTGCAGTGAAAGTCAATAAACTGACTGACAATAACTGTCACGAATACACTGTAACAAAGAACTTATTAACAAAGCAAAACATTGCATAAAGGTGAGAGGCTCTGGAAATGTCTGAAAACTGCACTAAAATCGAAAAAAACAAAAATAATAATATAAATTTATTAATCAATAGGATATCGACAATTTTTGAGGAAAGGTAATGCATTACTCAGCTCAGCCTTTTCAAGCTTCTTAACCCTTCTGTCGATGCTTTCAATAACATTTGCTTCAACACTCTCGCATTCGGTTTTTTTAATGTATTCCTCCATTGCGTTATTATATGTCTGTCTTTTCATAATTACCAAGGTTTTGCTTTTGTCCGCTCTTGTTGTAACCAAATCATTTTTTCTAAGCCAACCTTTAGTAAGTTTGATGTTTTTACCCGCATCACATTCCTTTTTCCAAGTCTTCTGATCTTTTATGACCGCTTTCCATTGGATGTATTCTTTTTCTAAATAATCTAGCCCAGATATTCCTCTCTCTATTTCTTGTATCGAAGTTTCCCATGAACTTGAATTTACAGGGACAAAGTTTGGTCCCCATTTCAGGAAATCCTTGATCTTATTCGGGATTTCTATTTGGTCCCACAATATGAATGTTGAAGAATTGTTACTAACCCTTCTTGATGCTTGCTTTTTAACGATCCATTTCATTTTACTAATAAATTTACTCCTTATATTCTTACAAACTGCATCCGTTAGTACAACTATACCACTGTTAATTTCTTTCAACATTTCAGGATCTTCATTGTATATATTATCCTCTAATGCTATGAGCTCATGCAAGATACCATACTTTTTATTCTTAGCAATTCTTAATTGATTGACGAAGACAAATCAAACAAAACTTAGCTTTCAAAGAAGCACATTCTTTTGGGATGCTTATCCTATATAGCGACATCGGAAATACCTTGTTTATCAAACATTCTTTCAAAAATTCAAATTTGCATTCAGCCTTGACAAGTTTTAACGTTATCTTCCTATACTTCCTGTAATAATCCACCGGTGCCGCCATATTCTAACTATAGTACTCTCACTCAGCGCTTGTTTGTAAACCAAAAAAACACCACCTTAATTTGCTGAGAAAAACTTTTAATGAAAAGCTAACGTTTTCATTGTGAGGACCTCACAATGACACGATGCATGCAATCACACAGTTGTTCCAAGATAATGTGTATCATATCCTTTTTTTTCCAAATAAACAGTTATTTGTTAGTTTAACTAAAATCCGAGTGAGTCACTTCCAATCCACTGTCTCACAGTCTCCATCCAGAATCCGATTGCCCATGCATGTGGCCGCTCGCGTGACCTACTTTTAAAACAAACCTCATCGTTGCAGCTTTTGGGTTGAGACTTGATGGTGTCAGTCCTGACGAGGAATCAAAGAGGTGCCAACCCTCCAGTCACATTTATATGGATGTTGACCTTACTTTCTTTTTCTCCAATCCAAAGCACTTTAGTTTTGTTAACATTAATATTCATTTTGAAGACTACACACCTCCTCTCTTGTCTACTCAAGATCTTTCTCATTTTACCTTGCACTCTGCCAGAATTGCCATATCATCAGCATATCTTAGACACCATCTGCTGTCCTCCAATTTTTAATGCCTTCCTCTTCCTCTAAATATTTCATAATCATTTCTTCCAAGTATATGTTGAAAAGAAGTGGTAATAGGCAACACCCCTGCCTAAAACCATTTTCAATCTTGATTTCCTCACTACTGCTCTCTGATATTTGTATAAGTTTACTATAAGTCTCCTGTCCTTCCAATCTGCTCCTTTCTTCCTGAAAATATCCATCAACCTTTCCCAGTCATTTTGTCAAATGCCTTTTCAAGATCTATAAAACACACCAACATTCCCTTTCAATGTATCACTCTCCTGGTTCTCTGTATATTCTTCTGTATGGTTCTCAGCACTCCTATTACTTCTTTAAATCCTCTTCCCTTTCTAAATCCAAACTGTCTTCCCTTATGAATAGGTTCAGTTTACCATAGAAGCATTTCTCTAATATTCTTAAAAGGATTTTGAAGTATGGGAGATCAGGCTAATTGTTCTATAATCTTCACATTTGGTTGTTCTATCTTCTTTGGAATGGGAATTAAAATATTCCTCAGAAAGTCGTTGGGCCATGTGCCTGTATCATAGATCATGTTGCAAATCGTGGGAATTTTCTTAATTCCATTTTTACCCATATTCTTAATGATTGCTATGGGAATGTTATCAATACCTTTTGATTTTCTGTTTCTTAATCCTTCTACTCTACTCATAACCTCTTCCATCAAGATTGGAGCTCCTCCTTCATCTTTATCAAAATCACTTTCTTTTTCTACCTTCAGTTCTACATTATGTTCTGCTCTGTATAAATCACTTACATATTCATGCCATCTGTGCAAGATCTTCTCTTTATTTATTATCTTTCCATTTTTGTCACTAATAATTACTTTCTTAGCCCTTCTGAACCAGAATGCATTCTTAACTTTATCATACATTAGTTCAGACTTTCAATTTCTTTACATTCTCTTTCAAGCTACTCTTTTTTGGCTTCTTCAATCACCCTTCTTAGCTTATTGTTCAGTTCTCTGTATTTTTGTCTTCCTTCTTCAGAGTTCACATTCTTTGACTTTCTTCTTTCATTCATTTTATTTACCATTTCCTCCATAACCCAGGGTTTACAAGTTTTTTGAAATTTTTTCTTTCCTACCCATTCCTCTTCTGTGGCACAAATCTTCTCCTTCATTGATATCCACAATTCATTTGGTCCTCCAGCATCCTCTTCATCTATTTCATTGAATTTTTGTTCATATACTATTCTAAACATTTCACTATGCCTTTTCAAATTTTCTAAATCCCATTTCTCACTTGTCTTTTTCCTCTTTATGATCTTCTTGAACCTCATTTATTTTTGTGAGTAAGAGGTTGTGATCTGAGTCTATGTCTGCATCTAGAGAAGTGCTTACATTATTAATAGAGTTCTTGTATCTCTCTTTAATTAGTATGTAGTCTATTTGGTATCTATTGTTGTCCCCAAGATCTTTCCATGTATATAATTTTCTCTTATGCTTTTGAAACCATGTATTGGTAATCACCATACTAGGTTCTTTGCAAAATTCGATCAATCTTTCTCCTCTCTTGTTCCTGCTTCCCAATCCATGCCTTCCTATAATATTTTCCTCTCAAGTTTCCCAACACAGCATTCCAATCTCGTAATAACAATAAACAGGCATTTCTTTCTTCCTTTTCCATAATTTCTTCCACCTGTTCATATATTTCCTCTACCTCTTCATCTGAATGAGAGCTGGTAGGCATATATACTTGAATGAGTACCAGATCTTTTGGTTCCGCTTGGATTCTGATCATTATGATTCTGTCATTTATGTAATAAACTTTAATTACCCAGGATGCAAATTCTCTTTTCAATGCTATCCCCACTCTGTTCATTGCTTTCTATACCCCTGAAAAGTAAAGCTTGATATTGTCACTCACTTCACTTAGTCCTACTATGTTTAATTTTATTTATTTTCATCTCATTCTTCAGATTTCCCAGTTTTCTGCCCTTTGTTAGTCCTCATGTTCCAAGTTCCAATTCTCAAAAGTCTCTTTGGGGGATTTTGCAGGCTGATGATCTTGGGAGCTCCCTTCTTCCCCTTACAGGGAAAGGTGTTGCAGTTGAAAATTGTTGCAACCCCAATGTCATTCTTCTCTCTATTTCTACTTGTGCTCATCTTACTAGAGAGATTGTTATGTTAGTAATAAAGCATAGTAGTTTCCCATTGCTTTCTATGCTCATGTTAAATCACTAAAAGTTAAAGCTTTTACTCTTTGTTAATTAAAATTTACAAAATTTTATAAATCTGCCAGATCATTCAAAAAAATTTGAATTATCCAGATTTGTAAAATCTGGCTGTAGCTGAGGAGTAGTTTGGTTTCATGATAAGAGACAGCTTAGGCAAGGAATAGTTTGATTTCATGCCAGGAAGAGGAACAACAGATGTGATCTTTGCTCTAAACCAGCTGATGGAAAGATAGATATACAGGCAGAACTGCCCATAATATTCACAGACCTAGAGAAAGTGTACAACAGGGTGTCTAGACAAGAAGTATAGAGATATATGAGGATAAAGGGATCTCCATCAAAATCTCAAAAGCATGTAAGACTTGTAAAGGAAATGTATGAGAGCAATGACTCAAGTAAATAGTAGTGTAGGTTACTATTCCTTCAAATTCACCTGCATATTTATTTCTACTCTTATCTTCAGAACTGGAAATTCTATCTATATCTATACTCTGAAAATAAGACTCCTTTTTATTCCCCTCTGACTCAAATCTATCCGCTTCTGAATTTATTGTTATAGCAACTTTTATTGCAGCTGTATTACCATCAGTTAGAGCAGTGTTTCTTAACAAGGGGGCTGTGACCCCTGGGGGTCCATAAGAAGTTTGTCAGGGGCCATGAAATTATTCAGAATTTATGTATATTTGAGTGAAAAAGGGTTTTCAACTATAGTGGATATAAAAACAAAAAACTGCAATCGATTGCGATTAGATGTCTGCATGCAGAAAGCATTATATACAATTGAACCAAGAATTAACAAATTAGTTGAGAATATTCAGCAGCAGAAATCTCATTAAATTATTTTTGAATATTTTTTTGTTTTTTCTATGAATTTTTAAAAGTTTCTTATTTTATTTTTTNATATATAAATAAATAAACATAATTTACTCACATGTAAGAATTTGATGCTTTAAGTTTTGTGATTTTTGACAGCTTTCTAGAATCTAAAACAAATAGTATTGTTAGAACATGCTTTTGAAATAAATAAATTTTCAATAACTTCAACAGTCAAATTAAAATTATATAATTATTATAATTTCAGGCAGATAACCTGTGGATTGTCTTTGTTTGAAAGAGGGTGCAAGTTAATTCAATGAGGCAGTTATATGCCAATTATTCCATTCATGAATTAATGCTGATTTACACTACATAACTAGCCAGTGACAAACAAGTGAACCACTGGACTGACCGTTATCTATTCAAAGATTTGAAAGATATGACATTACGTGTTTAACTATTTATGGTATACTCACCACTGTTTTTACTATCCTAACCTATTTCAAATGTATTAAGGTTTAAGTTTTTAATAAATAATGGCAATTAAGATACAGATTAATCTACAGTCTAATATAAAATACAAAAAGTCAAAAATAATTAAATTTTTATACAGTAATTACAGTAAAACCTTGATAATCCAGAATTCTTGATTGTTCAGAACATTCAGCAGCAAAGACTCAACTGAGTCTAGTTGCCACCTCCAGTCATTTGCCACTATAGTGTTGCCAGATTGGGTAAAAAGTAATCAATTCTGCACATTTTGAATGACTTATGCCATTTATTTTTTATTGTCTGCTACTCTTTTCTAATAAAATTTTGTGTAAAAATTTGCTCAAAACAAAGTGTTACTTTTTTGCATCTATACAGTCTACTACTACTTCAGCATCAACATCAGTTGCTAGTGATGATTATACGTGGGGCGACCCAAAAAAAAAAAAAAAAAAAAAAACGGATTTTTTGTATAAAAACTTTGTTTATTAACATTTTTACAAAATTTCTTCAGTCACCTTCAAAGTACTCTCCGTTAGATGCGATTCACTTGTCAAGCCTTTTTCCCCACTGTTTGAAGCATCTCTGGAACTCTTCAACATTGATATCATCCAGTGCCCTTAGCGAAACTGCCTCCACATCACCAAAACGCTTCCCTTTTAGATTTTTCTTTATTCTCGAAAACAGAAAAAAGTCACATGGGCTAGGTCTGGTGAATACGGAGGGTGGGGAATGACAGGCCATCCCTGAGAGGCCAAATAATGGGTCACCATAAGGCCGTGTGTGCAGGGGCATGTTGTTGTGATGAATGAACCAGTCACCTGATTGCCAAAGTTCCGGGCGTTTCCTTCGCACATCCTCTCACAGACTTCTTATATCTTCCAAATAAAAGTGCTGGTTACCACATAACAGTCTGGCCAGGGGGAACAAATTCCTGACATCCAGAACAAGCATGGTCTTCAACACTCATCTCACCACATTTAAAGCACCCCAAACCACTTGAAAACTTGCATGCAGCTCATAACATCCTCTTTAAAAGTCTGTTGCAACATTTGGTAAGCTTCTATTGCCAATTTTTCAAGCAGGAAACAAAATTTCAAACACACTCTTTGTTCTTTTAAATTCGCCATAACAACTTTGCAGGCAGAACAAAATAACAGTATGAGAAGCACAACACTACACTCAAATGTAAACTTACAAACTGACGCCATCTGCACAGCTGTTTTGTGAAGGTCTCTACTAACCCCATCTAGCTGGAAAACTCTCTACTACGTCTACGAATGGCAGCGCATTCTCAGTTCGTCTTTTTTTTTTTTTTGGGTCCCCCTCATAGACTTGCTAAATACAATAATACTTTAAGTACTTTATTCTTCTCCACACACTGGAATGTACTAAAAATAACTTACTTTGAACATCTTAACCAGAGTATATGTATAATATTTCAGCTAATGTTTTCAATACCCTTCTGGGCTCTTCCTTAGGCTTTTTTTGATAAATACTGAGCTGGACGTTGAAAATTGAACACTTTCTTTTGATTTGTTTCAACAAATCAAAAGAAAGTGTTCAATTTTCAGTAGATATATTTTTGTGTAATCTGTAACTTTAATGTAAATACACCATAGTGTAATCAGAGTAAATATTTACTTAATTTGTTTTTATTATGTCAATAAATTTTACATAGTGTTGTACAGTATAAGGGGATCTAAACCAACCCAGAATTCTCTTCTGTATGGTGGGCTTCTATTGTAAGGAACCAAGTCTGAGCTTTCCTAAATATTAAAATTATTTATAATCTTAATTTACCCGAAAACTTTTGATCTGAAAATAATTTATATCCTGAAAAATTAATTTTAAAATTATTATGTGCAGAAATTTCTTGCTTTAGATCAGTGATTCTCAAACTTTTTCGATCCACCGCCCCCTTTGTTCCATAAAGTTATACCCAACGCCCCCTAACCCATTTTCTCTTGTGTGAGAAAAGGATTGGAAATATTCTTAGGAAAACTTTTCTATGAATCTCACACTTTGTGCCCTTACTGTACATTGTTCTCATCATCTGGAAACCATTAAACGCAATGTTTCCTCTTATCAGCCCCAATTTTGCCTTTGGTCACCGTTCAATACCCTGCCTCTATCATAGATCTATTCATCGC